GTTAAGGGCTGTGATGGAAACGCCAGGCACCCAGTCTGGGTTAGCACAATAGAGAACGAGCGGGATTAATCTGTTCTAAACACCACCTTAGTTATTTGCAATACTGATAAGCGACTAACTTTTGTAGTTCTGAGTTTAGATTGGTTTCCTGAATAAGACGAGATGTTGAACCTAATGCTTTTGTGTGAGAATTATGGCGTTACAGTTGAGAATTAGAAAGTTTCCGATAGGCCATCGATATCTGAAGCTCGTTTCTGTAACAATTCTCTACCAAGGCGAATTGAGATATGAATTCGCCGCCCTGTTCTCTACTGCTAATTAGTAGGTGAGAGTGACGTATTTTCTCTACCAGTAGAGAAATAATCGGTAGAGAAAAGTTACAGAAACGGGCTACTGATCACTGCTGAATACTCTTTAATCTACTCGGAGTATCCTACACCCAACCTCAATAGAGAAACTCACGTAGAATTAATAGAAATAGAATATATTTTTCACACAGAAACTAATTAAAGGTAAGTTTGAAGGNATATCCTACTCCCAACCTCAATAGAGAAACTCACGTAGAATTAATATAAATAGAATATATTTTTCACACAGAAACTAATTAAAGGTAAGTTTGAAGGAAATATTTCTTCAATTTAATGAAATAGAACGAAGCATAAGTGATTATGTAGTGTCATCAGTCATATGATCTTTTCTTCCTATTGTAATCCTAGAGGAAGTAGTGGGTAAATTACACACATGGACGATTCCTGCAGAATATTTCAAAATGGCAAAGCAGGGTAACAATATACTTAAGCCAAGCCACCAAGTCTGGATTTTCGCTTGAATATTATTGTGTGGTNCAGGCCATCGATATCTGTAGCTCGTTTCTGTAACAATTCTCTACCAAGGCGAATTGAGANTAGGCCATCGATATCTGAAGCTCGTTTCTGTAACAATTCTCTACCAAGGCGAATTGAGATATGAATTCGCCGCCCTGTTCTCTACTGCTATATTAGTAGGTGAGAGTGACGTATTTTCTCTACCAGTAGAGAAATAATCGGTAGAGAAAAGTTACAGAAACGGGCTACTGATCACTGCTGAATACTCTTTAATCTACTCGGAATATCCTACTCCCAACCTCAATAGAGAAACTCACGTAGAATTAATATAAATAGAATATATTTTTCACACAGAAACTAATTAAAGGTAAGTTTGAAGGAAATATTTCTTCAATTTAATGAAATAGAACGAAGCATAAGTGATTATGTAGTGTCATCAGTCATATGATCTTTTCTTCCTATTGTAATCCTAGAGGAAGTAGTGGGTAAATTACACACATGGACGATTCCTGCAGAATATTTCAAAATGGCAAAGCAGGGTAACAATATACTTAAGCCAAGCCACCAAGTCTGGATTTTCGCTTGAATATTATTGTGTGGTCCAGCTGCTGATAAGAAAGTCTTCGTATCTACCCTGATGGGTTGAATATGGACTGCGCTTCAGAGACAGGGGTCAATGCCGCGGAGCTTGATGTCAATTGATCCGTGCGGGTATCAAACCAGCATATTTTAGGCTGAAATTCTGGGCATATATAAGGCGTGTATAATACTGTATACTGATTCTCCCAGGAAATATTGAGCGGTAATTTACTCAAATAGCCTGGCAGCATGCCGAGCTACATATATCATCCACCGAAACGAAGCCTGAGAATGAGCAGACGAATTGGCCAAGGTGGGAGCTTGTTTGGATTAATCTGTGGTGTCAATACGCGCTCAGACAAATGTAAAAATAAATATGTACACGTGCATTTTCTGAGACAAGATGTGGTCAGAGATCTAGACCTGTAAGATAGCACGTGAGCTTTGGCCTGGNACTCAGACAAATGTGGTCAGAGATCTAGACCTGTAAGATAGCACGTGAGCTTTGGCCTGGCCATTGCAGGAAAGAAACAGTAGAGGGGCTAAGTAGGTCAAAGGGAGACGCTTTTATGCTTTTTACCTGCTGTTTGGCTGCTAAGAAAGCATTGTCCATGAAACAGAATATGCGGCAGTTGTTGCTGAGATAACAGCGTGGAAAAAAAGCTTTCGGGAAATACATGATAAAGTAGTAAGCGAATTCATCTGGTGTTATAATAAGCGATATGCGGAAATTCTTAAGCGGGTCAAAAGTGTTTGTTTAGAATAAAAGCGAGAAATGCACTAAAATAGGGCTATCATGATGATTTTAAAATCTATATGGTAATATGGGCCTTAGGTTGGATCCATAATCACTGCCCAAGCTTCAACGCATGGTTTGCATTATGGCAGCTGGAGGTAATTTTGGAGCCGGATCCTCCGTACATAAACATAGAGAAGCCGATAAAAAGAACTGTTTTGAACTACGCGAGCGAGAGTTTTGGCTGAGGAATCAGCCAGGAACATGAAGAAATCCGGCATCCAGTATACGCTAGCCTGACTTCTCATCGATGAGATACCGCGAAAAAGATTATTTGAGAAAAGTTTCTGCATTGAATTATATAGCAGCTACATTTTGTAAAGGCGTCGAGAGTTGTGTAAACTGCACTGGTACACGGGCGGCACGAAAACTCCTTGGGGCGGAACATAGGAGCAGGCGGCTGTGGGCGCAGAGCTAGGATATTGCTTTGCTGCGAATGGAAGTTAACCGATCATTTTTTGGGCAGAAGTTTACGTCATCAGTTCAGAAACATCAGAAGCGACTTGTAAGGCTGCGGAACTGACATGACCTGGTATAAGAGCTTCCGAAACTATACTAGTACAAAAGGTATATGTATCTTGTGAATAGTACTTTCATAGCTACTGGCTGGAGCAAGCGTGCTACCTGTTAAGCCTGAGGAGGTACCAAACCGCCCTTATCAATTGTGTTCAAAGACAGGCTTGCCTATCGACTATTCTGTGGTAAGCTGACGAGACGAGTATTTAGATGAAAGCGTATTTTCCTAAAATAATAGCTCTTTAATCATTTAGAAAACCTAAGACCTATGGAAATCAGCGCTTTCTGAAATTTCTGCAAAACCGAAACTGCAGAGATCAAATTTATGTTTTTTCACGATTTATTTTTGTACACAAAATCGTTGGAACGCAAAATACTTAGTTAGGCATGCCATCTTTAAAAAGAAAATTTTTCTATCAAAAATTTTGTATCTTATTCGACAGCTGGCACTTTAGTAAGAAAAGTTGAGAATATTGCTTATACAAATCCGTCCGTAATAAACGTGCGCTCCATAAGGTTCTATGTACACAAGGTAGAGTCTTCGCTGTAAAATAAACAATAAATATACGTTGGCGGCCTTCCTGGTAAACTGGATCTCTATCATGCTTCGTACAAGGATTGTTAACGCTAAGCTAGGCAACAGCAAAGTCATCAGATAACCGAAATGGGGGACTCCGCAAGGCGGAGTACTGTAGCGGCTGCTGTGGCGTACTAAACAGCATTCGTCAAAGGCTCAACAGGGAAGGAGTCAAAGTAGTCGCGTATGCAGACGATGTAGTGATAACGGTATCCTAATTGTGCATAAACGTGATAAGCAGAATGCTTCAAAGGGCACTAGGGTAATTGGGTTCTTGGACAGATAGCTAAGGGATCAACTTCAATCCCTCAAAGAGCAAATTACTATTATACACTACAAGGAAACAAATTCCTAATTTTAATCTACCTTGCTTAAATGGGTCTGCTCTTTCTCTTTCCCCTTTCGCTAAGTATTTGGGAGTCATTCTCATTTCGAAATTAAACTGGAAAATGAACACAGAGCACCGAGTAAAAATGCATGGGGCCTACGACCTTATCTTATGATATGGATGTAAAAGACGGCGATTCGCCTAATTATTGTATACTGTTGGCTGGTTCGGTGGAAAGCCGTAGAGATGAACTATATGTATACGCAGAATGTTAGGCAGGGTACCAAAGTCAGCCTGCATTGTGATTACTAGGGTGATCAAATCATGTCCAACGGAAGCATTGAACGGCATCTATCATCTGCCAACGATGTATCTCTTTATTATGAAGTGTGTGAAAAGAACCTACGTACGGACATGGACCTATCTTGTACTCTTTCAACGTCCCAAGCATTCGCAAAAAATCTGACTAGAAATATTCTATTCTTGATGAACGCTTCGAAGTATCCGTTTATACGGACGGCTCAAAAATGGATTGTGGCATGGTGGCGGGACGGACCTCCAAATCGATGAGTCCATTCGATTACCAAATTCTGCCAGCGCTTTTCAGGCAGGGGTCTTTACAATCAAAGAGGCGTGCAAAATAAGCTAGCGATGCTAGTTTCTCGGATAGTCAGGCAGCGATCAAGGCACTTGGCTGTGTAAGCAATACCTCCAGTATTATAAACAAAAAGTGCTAGAACTTTATGACTTTAGCTGATAGGCTAATCTGGGTACCGGGGCACAGCAGAGTTCTCGGCAACGAGATAGCTAACGAGGTAGCCAGTAATGGGTCGGCTCTGGATGTATCAGAGACAGAGTAGGTGCTTGTGCTACCTAGCTATGTAGATCAAGGGCCGAATTTTTCAACACTGGAAAAAGGTGGATAATAGTAGGTGGAAAAAACTACAAACCTGTAGGGTCCGCAGGAGTCTCTGGTCTACCTATTGCGCAAAACGTACTGAATTTCTTATCAAACTATCGTTTGCCCGTTTTCACGGGGAACTGTGCCGTGGGGATCCATGCTGAAACACTAGGACTGGAACACAACACTTCTTGTCTTAGCTGTAATTCACCAGATCCAGAAGAAACGGCGGAGTATCTGCTCTGTAATTGCCTAGCATTATGTACGACTAGAATAAGGGTTCAAGGCAAAACCTGTGGTTTTACACACATAAATGATATTGACCAACTGCAACTTCTTAAATTCTTTAACTACACATGCTTGATTTAAGAAAAATAACTAACTTCTGCTGCTTTCATTCAGGTTAAATTGCGATTAGTGGTTCTAAACCGGCATGCATAAGTGCTAATTGGAGTTATTAAATTCGCCACTTCAACCAAACAGCCAACCAATAAATATATTAAAATATTTCATATGACATGGAGAAAAATACTTGCATATTCCCACAAGGGGACCAAACTAATACTATAGTTTATTTAAAATACTCCACACACTTTAAAAGCTAATAAAGCGCTCCTACACATAACTTCGAAAGAATTATCCGACCAAATACCTGCATAAATCAGTCAAAGCCTGTTCGTAACACCATTGCGCGAGTGCGGAAAAGGCAACTGTAGGTTCTGCAGTTGAGCTGGAACCGGCTGATGGTGAGGCCCTAGTAATAATTGCGGGTGTGGCAGTTGACGGTGCGGCAGTTGACGATGAAGCAGCTGGTTTTCTTGGTGACAGTGGATGTCCGCCATGTTCTGGAGCGTCTTGCACTTGGCGAACTTTATTATTACCTCCAAAGTGTTTTGAAGTTCCACCCACTGGAAGTTTTCCGAATCCATTCGGTTTTTTAAAATCATATCCTACAAACTTTGTTGGCGCCTGCAGATTTCGTGCTGTAATAGATATATTGCACATTTTATATATATACGTATTTTGTCAAGTAACCTCGGCAACTCACCTTCCACGAAGACCACGGCGAATGCAATAAGCAAAACGATTGTGAATAATTTCATCTTTACACCTAGCGGAGTTTTCACCATATGCGCAATTAAATTTATTTTGATGACCTTTTTATAGCTTGACTTTACTTAATGAGGAATTTAAATGCAAACAGAACATTTGCTTTATTTTCAAATACATGAGAATATACTTATTCAAATACGCAATATACAAAGTAAATATCATATTGAGAAGTTACCGAAGTTATTTATTTTCATATATGTAATACTTCTATATTGCTAATACATTCAAAGTACATTCCCCAACATCAGAGTGCCGACATATTTAAAAAAAGAAAGAGAGATCCGATCAGAGAATATACTCAAAAAGAATTCATATGAAAAATTAACAAAAATAAAATCATGGAAATCGTTGCGGCCGCTGGTGGTGGCAGAGAATAAAAATACCAGGTGGCATTTCCAATTGGCGTCAATTAGCATAGATGGGAATCGAATAGCGTGCTTTATTGGATTCGGCCAATATATAAAATACCATACCGCTTTATATGTAAAATAACCGGCCTCGTATGCGCGAGGCTTCGCCAAGCGCTGAATGTGTACATAAGTACATATACGCAGCAGGTGGCAACCCTGTTAATAAATAAAGCCTTATTACACACCTAATGGCCAAGCCCTTTCATTTGACATCTTATGTTTTTAATACAACGAACGGTGTGGATCTTATAATTTTTTAGACAGCTGGCAACTCTATTAAAAGAAAATAAAATCATATTGTACATCTGGAGGCCAAGTCCTTTCATTTAACGACTCACTATTTAGTCGAACGAACAGCCTACATCCTATAATTTTTCGTATAGGTGGCAACCCTCTTCGAAAATATAAAATCTTACTGGACATCTGAACGCTAAGCCGTTTCCTTTGAGACCTAATTTTTTTAAATGAATGAACTGCGCAAATCTGATGTAATTAATAAAAAATGCCTTCATGTATTATATGTAAGGTATTAATTTTTAAATAGCTGGCAATCCCACTGTCGACTTTCCTTTATACTATGTAGCAAAAGATCTTCTATTTTCCAATTTTTCAGATTTCTAAAGAACGAAGAGCATCGAAGAAAGTCAATATATCGAGCCCTAACCGCTAAAATAATATATATTTGTTTAAACATGTTTTTTGATGCAGGTGCTTTAAGAGCATTTATGCATCAGAATTACATTTTGAAAAAGGTTCGCTTACTTTATTTTCGCGGCTAGGGCTCGATATGCATTGCGGCTTGATGGAAACATGATAATGTCAAATTTGTGTTTGTTTGTTGAATGCCCTACACCGCCCCTGTTATGATGCGGCATTTCATTCTATGTAGTAGTTTACAAATACACACGTATACTTCTACAATCACAAAAATTTTCATAGGCTGTCTTTCTTTGATATCGAGACTCATTGCGATCATATATTGTACTAGCAATATAGAAGTATTGCATATATGTTTATTTTTTACTGGCTTCACAGTCTGTAGATTCTAGATTCTTAAGTTTCGGCCTTACGGAAATCAAGAGCGCTGAGAAAATCAGGCTTGCCAGATTTTCAATTTTTGTATTTCTCATAAATAAATGAACGCAGACATATTTTTTTGTATAATTTTTTTTTTTTATGTGGCATTTTAGGCAGCAAACTGTCAAAGAGCTGAATAAGAAGATACAAAAACAAAATAGTTCCGCTTCTGGCTAGACTAACTGAGCTTTTATNGATGTGGCATTTTAGGCAGCAAACTGTCAAAGAGCTGAATAAGAAAATACAAAAACAAAATAGTTCCGCTTCTGGCTAGACTAACTGAGCTTTTATGGCCAGAGAGAGCTTTTACCCTGTGTGCATCCATACATTTAAATAAGCAGGTGTGAGTGCTTGAAAGAGTTCTGCCCGCCCGCGCTGTTTCGACCATCACTGACCTAAACAAATCCCGCAAAAGAAAATTCTCATACATTTTATACAGACTCGCAATGGAAAAAGCTATCTCTGCACACCACTGCTCTAATTGCTTCTACTTATATCCGCCACTACAAAAACATATCCCGCGGTAGCTTTTAAAGTTTTCAATGGTTTTTATATAGACGCGCAGAGATTATCATTTTGAATTAACCACAAAAAACTGCGTGTCTTTTGGGACTCCGATCATGAATAATAAGCATGAATAATAGCATGAATGAGAGCATGTATAACAATAGCCAGTTTGAGTGAAAAATGCTGCCCAAACCACGACTAAAGAAAGTTCAAATAATTTGAGGAAAGCTTTCAGGAAAAAGAGCATATCAAAATGGTGCCAATCATGNCAAAACATATCCCGCGGTAGCTTTTAAAGTTTTCAATGGTTTTTATATAGACGCGCAGAGGTTATCATTTTGAATTAACCACAAAAAACTGCGTGTCTTTTGGGACTCCGATCATGAATAATAAGCATGAATAATAGCATGAATGAGAGCATGAATAACAATAGCCAGTTTGAGTGAAAAATGATGCCCAAACCACGACTAAAGAAAGTTCAAATAACTTGAGGAAAGCTTTCAGGAAAAAGAGCATATCAAAATGGTGCCAATCATGCAAACCCCGGGCTATGATAAGGCACTGTCTCTTACCAGGTAAGCTACCTGGAAACATACATATTTTCCCAAATTTTTCCATTATCATGGTTCTCGAAACCACTAAAGAGAATTGGATCGCTAAAATTGTTGAGTGGCGATTATATTTGAACAGAAGGTAAAGTATTGTATTTGAACAGAAGGTAAAGTGCAAACATATACAATATTAGGGTAGTCCTTAAAATATCAATATCTAGGTTTTTTATGGCATAACCCTTTATTTTGTTCTACGTACAAAATAAACACATCAACGAAAATTTCAAAAATTAAAAAAAAAAACAAGTAAGAAAGTCTAAGTTCGGGCGGAGCCGAACATTAGATACCCGGCGCAAGTATTAAATATATGTTTTTCACCTTTCCGAAAGCTACCGCTACATGGTAAGCCGGGGTGTATCACTTTTGAGTAAATCAGTGTCCTTAAAGTTCGAAATATTGAAGTTTCGAGCATTTCTGAAATTTACCGTTATATGAAAAGCCGTAATTTTAGTCCGATTTCAACGTTTTGCTTCTATGTGGCAAGCACAATAACCACACCGTGTTTGGTACATATTGATAGAACGGTTACTGAGATACATACATATATGTGATCATAAGTGGGCGGTGCCACGCCCATTTTTCAAAA